TGTCTGTGGGTGTCTGTGGGTGTCCCTGTCTGTGGGTGTCTGTCTGTGGGTGTCTGTGGGTGTCCCTGTCTGTGGGTGTCTGTCTGTGGGTGTCTCTGTCTGTGGGTGTCTCTGTCTGTGTGTATCTGTCTGTGGGTGTCTCCCCATCTGTGGGTGTCTCTCTCTGTGGGGGTCTCTGTCTGTGGGTGTCTCTGTCTGTGGGTGTCTCCCTGTCTGTGGGTATCTCTCCCCATCTGTGGGTGTCTCTCCCCATCTGTGGGTGTCTCTCCCCATCTGTGGGTGTCTCTCTGTCTGTGGGTACCTCTCTGCCTGTGGGTATCTCTCTGTCTGTGCGTATCTCTCCCCGTCTGTGGGTGTCTCTCCTCGTCTGTGGGTGTCTCTCCCCATCTGTGGGTGTCTCTCTGCCTGTGGGTGCCTCTCTGTCTGTGGGTGTCTCTCTGTGCCTGTGGGTGCCTCTCTGTCTGTGGGTGTCTCTCCCCATCTGTGGGTGTCTCTCCCCATCTGTGGGTGTCTCTCCTCATCTGTGGGTGTCTCTCCTCATCTGTGGGTGTCTTTCCCTGTCTGTGGGTGTCTCTGTTGGCTTCCCCTCTTGTGGGTCTTGCAGGTCAGTCATGCTCCAGACCTTTAGGCCGCAGCCTGCCAGTCTCCAGATGGCTGTGACATGGGATAGCAGACACCCTCTCCAGGGGCAGATGGTGGTAATCACAGAGATTCTGGGTACCCGGGTGGGTGAGGTACCAGTAGAAGTGTCTCCAGGCAAACTTCCTTCACGCAGCCTCAGGACTTGAGAGACTGCATGACCTTCATGACATGAAAGTTGGGCACATTCTCATCTGCCAGCTCTGGGTCTTAGGCAGGTGGACATCTTCTTGGCCACCATGACTCCCTCCTTAAAAAGGAGTTCATAAATAGCAGTGTGGTTCTTCTTAGGCATCAACATCTCTGCGGCTGTAGGGTCCAGGGCTGGAAAGGGCAATTTTTTCCTAACTGATCCCTGCTAATGGCATCTAGATTGTTCCTGGTTTTTCACCATAGTAGGGCTGTGATGAGCCTCTTGGTGCATTTCAGATGACATCTCCGGATACAGTTACAGAACAAGTATTTTTGAAGTTCTTGAGGCATGTTGCCAAGTTGTTTCCAGAAAGCTGCACAGATTTATTCTGCACAGCCTAGAATTCTAGAATCACAGGGTTCTGCGCAGCTAGAATTCTAGAATCGCAGGCTCCTAGGGTTGCAAGGACCCTTTGGAGTGTCTACCTCCGCTTCTCGTGAAGTGTGGGAATTCCGCGGCCATGCAGAGGAAGCGTTTTCCAGCTTTGGTGCTTCTGGTGACGGTGCTCACTGCCTCTGCTTGCTGTGTGGGACCCACTGATGGAACAGACGGAGGGACTTTTTATCTGGCCATTGGCCATTGCCATGCACTTTGCGTACCCCATTTTGTGTAATTCTGACTACAACCTTGTGGGCTCTAGGCAGGTCATTGCCGATTTGCAGGTGGGGGTGTTAGGCCACAAGAGATGAAATAAGCTGCTGTCCCTAGCCGTTGAGTGTTGATAGGACCAGGAGCGCCCCTCTCTCCCCATCTGTGGGTGTCTCTCCCCATCTGTGGGTGTCTTTGTCTGTGGGTGTCTCTCTGTGGGTGTCTCGTGTGGTAATCGCAGACGCAGGAGAAAGCTTTTCTTATCAAAACATGAATAACGCCTTCCAGGTGCTCATGGAGCTGGAAAATCCTGTGCTCATATCACTGGGAAAAGGGTAAGTTGGCTCCAGGGAAAGTCATTTCTCAGTTAGATGAGATGAGGCTGTGCTAGTCTCTGACGTGTGGAATCAGGCAGAGAAGGAAGCAGAAGGGGATGTAGGGGGAGCACCGGTGACCTTCTTCTCCCTCCCTTTTTCATGCTTTCTCTCTTCATTTCTTTATTCCTCTCCTTTAATCATTTTTTTTAGGAAATAGGAACACTCTGTCTTCAGGAACCGGTTGATGAGGCTTCCATGTGGAGTCTAGACTAGGAGAGGGCGTCACTGCAGATGGAGATCCTCTGGAGCTCTCAGAGGCCAGGTGTTGATTGTCCCAAGTTTAGAGCAAAGAAGGAGAAGGTGCTTTTGCATAGGGTGCAGCAGGATGTTGGAGAATGCTCTCCAGGGTTGTCTAATTAGTAAAAAATAGGCTTGAGGCCTACCCAGTCTGGGCACTGACAGTCTCTGGCCACAGATCACTGTCTCTGTAAAGGTGTGATTTTGTGATCAGTGTTTTATCTGAGCCTCTAGCACGTGCCTTGCCATCTCTTTCTTAAACAAAACAGTGTTGGTTATTTTTAACATTTTTCTTACACTGAGATAGCACATGTTCATTGAAGAAAAATTAGACAATACCGATGAGCAAAAGAAGAAACCAGAAAATATTTTTAGTCCCACTGCACGAGGAAAGCACCTGTCACTATTTTGGTGTGTGTCCTCACAAGTGGCTTCCTGTGCGAATAGACCATTATGGATGGAGGTGTTCACAGCGTTGGTGTCATACTTGACCTTGTTTTGTCACCCGTTTTTTATTGTTCACCAAACAATATTTGTGAATGACTTAGCCTGCAGCAAATGGATATGTCTTGGGGCATGGTTGAGGGTTCATAAATAGCAGTTGGTGGTTCTTCTTAGGCATCAACATCTCTGCGGCTGTAGGGTCCAGGGCTGGAAAGGGCAATTTTTTCCTAACTGATCCCCTGCTAAATGCATCTAGGATGTGCCCTGGTTTTTCACCATAGTAGGGCTGCGTGATGAGCCTCTGGTGCATTAGAATTGACTGTCTTGCGCATTGAAACAGCTTACAGAACACAGTGTACTTTTGAAGTTCATTTACATGTTGCCAAGTTGTTTCCAAGAAGCTGCAACAGAATTTAGTCTGCACAGCCTAGAATTTCTGGAATCGACAGGGTTCTGGTGCGCAGCTAGAATTGTGTTGTTGTTTAGAATCGCAGCTCCTAGGGTTTGCAAGGCCCTTTGGAGTCTGTTGCTACTCCGCTTCCGTGAAGTGGTGGGAATTCCGCCGGCCATGTGCAGAGGAAGCGTTTTCGCAGCTTTGGTTGCTTCTGGGTGACGGTGCTCACTGCCATTGCTCGCCTGTGTGGGACCCACTGATGGAACAGACGGAGGGACCTTTTTATCTGGCCATTGGTCCATGCCATGCACTTTGCACCCCCATTTTGGTGTGTAATTCTGATACAACCTTGTGGGCTCTAGGCAGGCATTGCCCGATTTGCAGGTGGGGGTGTTAGGCCACCAAGAGCATGAGAATAAGCTGCTTGTCCTACCGTTGGTGTTGATAGACCAGACGCCCCTGGGCATGGCCGACCCCGGACGCCCCCGCTGTTGCTTGGTTACCTCTAAGCTACAATTCTAGAGCAGACCTTTTTGCCCCACACAAGCTTATTAATTGTGGCCTGGACGGTGGCTCATGCCTGTATCCCAGCACTTTGGAGGCCAAGGTGGGCAGAGTCCACCTGAGGCCAGGGGTTCAAGACCAGTGGCCAACGGTGTAAACACTGTCTCGGTACTAAAAGTACAAAGAAATTAGCCAGGGTGTGGTGGTGCCACACCTATAGTTCCCAGCTACTTGGGAGCTGAGCACTGAGAATTGCTTGAACGCTGGAGGCAGAGTGTTGCAGGTAAGCCAAGATCATGCCATTGCACCCGGAACCTCTGGGGAACAAGGCAAACCCATCTCAAAAAAGAAAAAAAAAAAAAAACAACAAAACAAA